GGCTAAAGGAAACCCTGGAGCAGCCCGTCCTGGAACCAGCTCCAAATAAAACCAGCTCGCTCGAGACCTGAGTCTTCTGGTTTTATATTACAAATTGATTAAAATGAAGTTTGAATGGGTTGCAATTAATATCAAATGTTACATGTCCTGTTTTGTTTTGGGGTTTTTTTGACTGCAAGCTGACTTCCATGTTTTTAAGAAGTTAATCCAAAACATTTAGCGATTACACTCACTGGACAGGTTACATCAGGCTGTCACAGGATTTTATCTTTTCCTGCAAAGATAAAATCGACAAAGGAGACAGATTTTTGGTATTCTGTCAGATTATTCTGTAGTTATCACTGTACAGAAAAATTGTATTGTAAAATGTATAAATGGGCTTGATTTGTTTAATCCTTTGTGTTGATAAAGTGTTTTGTCAGCTTGCTTTATAAAACTAAAGATGATCAGTTCACTGTCTCTCTCTAATCTGTGAGAATGTTTACACACTGTCAATAACTATGAAACTATCACTATATATCTCTATATATCTATATAGATCTATCTATATAGATATATTTTAAAATATGAACATTTCCTGGGTGTCACATGTTTTCTTTCCTTTGATGGTACTTGGTCCATGCTTTGTAAGGAGTATAAGAATTTTACAAGGATAACAGAATCTGTCCTGCTCACGCTGACAACTTTAAATATGATTGGCAGGTCCCCACAGCCTTTTCCAAATCACAGTGAAAATATAGACGGGTTAAATAAAAGCAGCAAAATCATTTTTAAATGCCTCGGCTCAGTCAGACTCCAGCCATGCTGACAATAGCTGCATGATCGGATATGGTTGCAAGTTTTCTGGTGCTTTTCTAACGCAAGCACATGCGTTGTAGTGATTGGAGACAAAGTTAGACGGGCAAGACTGAAATGGTTTGGACGTGTGCAGAGGAGGGATGGACAAAGGATGCTGAGGAAGACCGCAGAGAAGGTACAAGAGTTCTCTGTTATGAGGTATTTATTTAAATCCTTTTGCTAGATTTAATTTGTAGCCATGCAGAGGTGCAACATCTACATTTAAGTTTGATAGTTATGAGGTTACAACATTAGACTTAAAGCTTACTGATAGTATACTGTGCATATAAGGACAGCACTACCTTATGGTTAACATGCTCACATATGTTAGATTAATTGCTAAAATACAATCAACAATTGAAGCAGTACAGATTCACCAGCACTTATTTCTAAAGCAGGTCTAGTACTAATCTGAGCATGTTTAAAAAGCCTTAACGGCCTCCATGCAGTGATGTGAGCGCAGGAAACGAGGGAAGGAGTCCTTGGCCATCAGACTGTAGATCCTCTGCTGTGCTTTGTTGAATGTGTTGGGACATGGAGAGTCCATCACACTCAGCAGAGCCTCCCGGGTCTCAGCATCCAGGTTTACCTAACAAGGGAAAAGTTATTTAAAGATGTTTTGTTCTTCATCATTTGCTGTTTAGTGATGTGTGCTCCTCTCTACCAACCTCCAGTGGAGCGTCAGGGTTGATAAACTGGCTGTAGATGCTGCAGGCCTTGTTCTTCTGCAGGTTTGAAGGGGAAACCCTGTAGTCCTCGCAAGCCAGCCAGAACTGAAGGTTCTCCTCACTGAACTCGGAGCGCAGGAACGCCCGAAAGGCCTGCAAACCACCTGAGAGGAAGAAGAAAAGAAGAGCTAGAAGAACAGTTCAGGTTTAACACAAATTTCAACTAAACATCTGAGCTTTTCATGTTTTTACTTGGGTACAAAAATTCAAAAATACTGTTCTAAAAGCCATTTTTACACAGTTCCTATGATAAACTGTGCCACTGGAATTAACATTGAGTTATTTCACCTTAATTCCCCTTATTGAGGCTTAAATAGTACAAAATATGCAGTTGTCAAACACAGCTGACTGCCTTTCCTTTGATGCATACTGTTTTAAATAGTAAGTTAGCATTAGCAACACTAAAAAATAAATTAGCCAACAGTAATATGACAGTTTTCACCATCTATCTAGAGTATTAAGAATACAGGAGATGTGTAAAAAAGTAAAGGTACTCTTACTTTACAATTAATTCTATAAGAATTAACTCAGTAAAAAGTAAAAAGCAGTTCAGTTAGGATGCACCCTGAATAAACATTACCATGTCTCATTTTTAAAAAGGAAGAACACTATATGTTATTGATAATAATGCCTAATGTCTTCAGATTTTTAGCTGAAATATCAGTGTGCGTTCTTATGTACAAAATAAAAGCACTTTGCTGCCTGTGCAAACGACTGATTAACCTTTCTCAGTAAAGATGTGCTAGAATTAACCAGAAAAAGGTCAAATCTCCTCACCCTCAAGTAACATTGAGCTGTTTTTCATGTTTGAATATTAAAGTGGTGATTTGACTTCAGAAGTAAAATAAAGTGAATCTTACTTTTGCTGTTCAGCAGAGTTTCCAAGTCTTGCAGAATTCTTCCGTCCTGAGTCCTGATAAAAGGGGCACAGGGAGTCAGAAATGTAGCTTCAGCTCCTCTGATTTACTCCTTATTCAAAATACGGGTTTCAGTGAACTTACTTGTTCTTGTGGTGGGTCTCAGCCAGGTGGCTTAGCTTCACCCGCATCTCTTTTGCCCTGAAACACAGACAAACGATGTAAAACAAACTCAGAGTTTCATTTATTAATGTAAAACATAATATCAAAAATAAACACTTACTTCTCCAGACATGAGGAAGGCAGGTAGGAGAGCCCCCTACACATTGAAGCTGCTAGTATTAAATGATCTGCAAAGGGAAAATTAACCGAGCTGTATTTGATGAATTATTCCGAGCCAGTCTCCTGGACTAAAGCGTGCTGCTCTTATATACAGCAGTCCGCCCGTGTGCTATCTGATCTGTCAATCTGCTTCGATTAGAACAGCAGGTGTGGCGATGGGAAGTGAATAGAGATTAAAACCGTTGAATGAGAGGCTGTATACGTCCTCAAAGGCCATGTAGTCCTGTCAACAACAGATACAAACACAGTCAATATATAATATAATAGTAGGAAAATCACATGTGTGAGTGTACATGAGTGGTCAGTGTACACCTGTCATCTTAAAAGTGTGTCATAAACGAAACACAGAGTGGGCTGCAGAGTTATATCACAGAAGAATAAAGTGATGAGGGAGGAGCAGGTGGACAGGCACAACCACTCATCGCTGGAGAATGTCTGAGATCTGCAGGCCGGAGATGATGATGGACAAGCTGGTGGACAAAATTAGAGGAACATCTGGCAAAATCATTAAATAAGGTTCAGCTTTTCTTCTCCATTTCTAATTTGTTAGTTGGCTGTTTTATAACCCTCTTATGTGGCTCTCTGCAGACAGTGCTTATCTGTATGTCACTGCAAATAATGTTAAAAAGAGAGCTAAAACTGTGCCAAATTCTGATCAACTCCATATTACTGTAAATTTGTAAAAATCAAATCAGAGACACATAGAGACAAAAATGCTTCTGTTGAATCATAACTTCCATTGTTTGAATAATGTGACGCATGGGAGGCCTGCAGATTACGTCATGCTCCTCCTGAATGAAAAGATGACACTGATTGGTTAAACATTTGCACACATGAGTCACCTAATTTTTAAATAGTGGTGTTTCATTAGACGCTGTGAGGAAAATCCCAAATTATCTGAGATACTCAGAAAGATCCCCAGCTGTGTTCTTGTTCATTGATGTTCCTGTCTCACTTGGAGATAAATATCATTTATGAATACATATCAGTGCATTCTGTTATCTTCACTGTTTAAATTAATGACTTGAACATGCACGAATATCCTCTCTACATGTTAGTGATTCCTTTTTTCCTTCGACCATATGCTATTGCTGTGATAGGTTATAAAATCTAACAGACTGGCTTTACTTTAAAACATCACAGAAACTCATGGCCTCTGAAAAATTAAGTAAACCAATTTTAATCTTAATTTTTGCCTTCCTTAAATTAATTAAGACCTACAAACGACTCAAGTCTGGCAGGCTCTTACATCAGAAACCAATCTCTGAGTAGACTACAAGTTTAGCAAACACTGGGAATTTTCCAGGGCGACTATTTGTGCGACTACAACTAGATTACTTTTTAGATTATTTCCCATCATCTGCTGATTTTTTTTTATGTAATGTCATTTATTTGAATCTATTTTCGGAGAGCAGAAAGAGAGGTGTTCAACAATCACGGCACTGCTACAGATGGAGCAACAGAAAGGTTGACGATTTGTTGAAATAAGAACACTGTTTGCATTTACAGAGTGAGAGAAACCTTTTATTGCCACTCACAAATGTATATACGTGGATGCTTGAGCCTCGCTGTGGTAAACTATGTGCACTCAGGCTGTTTTCACGGTCATCTGCTGGAGGAGGGAGGTTTCTCCGTGCTCATCTTCAAGGAGCAGGAACTTTGTGACATAACTAGTGTGGAAGCCAGTCACGTGTGATTTGGAAACTTGAAACCTCCAAACACACTGAAAATAACGAAGAAGGGGACACCTTGTGCCCAACAGCGGAATTGTTGAAATACTTTGAATAATTTTAGGTAATATACTGTGTTAAAATAAACAGAGAGTGGTTATGCAAGTGAATACTCAAAGTATTTTAAAAAGTCAAACTAGTATAGTTAAAATCCAGCATGCACGCAAAGTACATTGATTGAAGGTAAAGAAGCTCATTTAGCAGAATGTCTTTCAGTGATATATATACAATTCTGTGCAGGCTTTCAGCTTTAAGTCAAGGGATTTCACAAAAGTACTGCATTAACTGTTTAGGAAGTGCCGCCATTTTTAATCATATTGCTCAATAGTAAAGGGACAAACTAACATAACTTTAAATATAAGGAATTTGTACTTTAATTATAGCATGGCTGTTTGAAAGGCCACTGTAGTGGTGAACAGAGGAAAAACTAAGAACACTGTCACTGTCCAAATACTTGTGGACCTAAATGTATTAGTCTATTAAAAGCATTAGGGAACCATGGACTGATGATCTTAGTATTTATGAATCTGGCCCAGGGGCTCTAGCTGATGTCATGTGAGAAGTCCTTGTCGTAAACAATTAATAATTCTTTTTATTGACGCAAAATAAATTGCTTCACACTCTGAGTACACTGCGGACACACACGGATCGGACACTTCACCACCAGAAGGCTTCAGCAGCAGCAGCAGGAGGAGGACCACTGCGTGTTTCTGTCGCTTCCTGCTTCCTCAACAAGAGTGTCTGAGAAATCTGCAAGACGCAGCGCCAAGCACCGCAGAACACGGAGACCCGCTGAAGCCAAGGGGAGCCCGCTTGTGTGGTTTCCAGTGTTGTTTTAGGACTGAGCGGACCTGCCGGTTTCTCCTGCGTCCTGATCCTCCGCATCCGCCCGAGCATGGGCGGCGAGTCGGTCTGCAGATAAACACACTGTGAGTGCGCCTCAAAATGGTCTCGTAGATGTTATAATTAGACCGTAACAGCGTGCGTAACGCTGTGAGGATCAAGTGAAAGGGATATTTAAAATTATATATTTAAAGGATAAAATGCTGTTGTGTATGTGGATGAACCTGTGAGCCGGAGTATTTCATGGCATTCCCAGTTTAATAACCAGTAACTCAGTTACTGGAGAGTGTTCGAACACATCAGTATTAGGTTACAAATTTACTAAACGTTCCACTGGATGCCCACGTGCCCTGTTGCTTGCATTCATTTTTCAAAATAGGCTAATCGTAGCCTATCAGATTAACAGGGTGGGCACAGTAACAGCGCCTTACACAACTCACACTGCGTCCTGTGCTGCAAACTCAACTACAATACACACTCTGAATCGACTACACATCCACTATGAATAATAGCGTTCAACTCTATTCATTTCAAGTGGTGTTTTATAACAGGAACACTATGTAACAGCTACAGTACACCCAGTTTAACCCTGCCAGATGTAATCTCTACCTATCATCAAGGTTTTGTAAACAAAACTGTGACTGCTGCCTGTTATCAATAGATACAATACACACACACACACACACACACACACACACACACACACACACACATATTTATTTATTTATTCTATCTGTCTACAGGTGTTGGGGAATGAGACTACATAGTGTAAAATGGGTATAAAGCCTTGCAGTTTCAGAAGGGGTTTGTCTGAAATACTTTAAGATAAGCATCACTTGGACCTGAGGGCAAAAAAAATTGAGGTTTAAAACTGCAAAATAGTGAGTTTACATCTGAAGCTTCCTCATGTTATCTCTGCTCAGGGGCATCTAGTTTTGGGTTAAAGCTCTTCGGTGGCAGGAGGAGCCTTTTCTACCTTGGAATGAAATGTTTGTTTTTCCTTTGCTGTGTTTCATCCGTAAGTAAATTAGTCATAATTAAATTCCCTGAATACATCAGCTTGGTGACTGAATTTTGATTTCACAAAAAAAGTGGAGGCTCTACTAGAGGTGTAGAGGTACTACATTCACCTTATACAAATGAAGCTGACCCCATCCTCGGCCTCACTTTTACACCACTAATTTATTGTATCTAAGTGACAGCTAATGGCATGCATCAACAAAGGAGGGAAGGCAAAGTGGGGGGAGTCAGCTGTTAACAAAGGTTAGTAGAGCACAGATAACAGGCTTAGAATGGTTTAGCAATTGTTAAAGACAGTGAGCCAGTTTCAGATGTGACACTGCATCTACCAAAATGACCCAGTACAACTTACAACCAACAGTATGAAACACATGGCCTTTCATTTCAGAAACAGTCAGAGTGAGTGAAGCAGCCCCAGGCCCCTCTCCAAATGATCTGCAAAATGTAACACAAACTGAGGTCACATCACGGCAACTCAGAGTTATTCCAAACAATCATTTCTATCCAGAATAGTTTCAACTGAAAGCTTAGCCACACCAATGCCAAGTGTCTTCATGATATGCTGGACCAGTGACTCTCAGCAATTAGACAGTGAGATTTTCAGGCTGATGAAACAGCATTTTTAAAATACCACAGTGACACTGCTTCTCATTTAACAAAGAAAATTATGTAGTCACTTTTATGGGTGCGTTTATTTAGCTTTTGCTGTTTGCTGTACACCAGCACCTCTTTGTACACCCACAAAGATTGTCATGTGTTCCAAAACCACCCGATATATATCTGCAAAAACAGAAGACTTCCTTATATGATATATTTAACTTCTGCTTTAAACATGAAATAAATACCAACAGAAAGTGGCTGTTATATATTATTTTATCACACATATCATAAAATTAATTAAATTGAATGGATTTCATTATTCTGTTATTCAGCCTACACAAAGGACTGTAATTGTAGTTATTTTTCAAACCTTAGTCAGTATCTCACTATGTGGAAGCGCCCTCTGGTGTGACTAATCACAGAAGCTCCACCACTACCACGTCTATTCAACAGACCAATCACTGCAAGGACATGAGGCCCCCCCTTTATTACAGTCACTGGCCCCACACAAGGTATTTTCGCTTTCTTCCAAATAAGTCTCCCAGCTTCTTAGCGGAAGCTGGGAGACTTATTTAAACTTTCACAATTATCAGGATAATCACTTTGTTACAACTTTTAGTGTGTCTCAGTGATCTAGGTAGACCTCTAATGTACCTTAGCACTAAACAGGCTGAAAACAGTGTTAGGCTATAAGAAGGTTTAGAGGCTTATACAGGCTACAGTATGTTAAGAGATGAGAATCCAGACATGGGGAGATTTTAAGGTGGGCAGACTATTGGACCTATCATAGTTTTGTTTTTTGTTTTTTTTTAATCAAATGCAGAATATGAACAGTTAATTATTAGCTACACTGAAAGATACAGATCAAGAATGGAAAGGGGGCCCACAGAGACTGGTTATGATTGGGGTCCAGGGTCCTGCGCTGTGCCCCTGTTTCTGCTTAATATTACATTTGCTGCCTCTGCAAAACCCACCAACCAGATAACAACTGTTTGCAGTCAGTTTTAATAATTTTCTCGATTGTTTTTGGTCTCTTTCTTTTCAGCCCATAAGCTTCAGTTTACTGACCCTAATGGGTTGCAATGCTCTCATTAACAAAACTTAATTTTGATAACTGAATAGTTTGTTGTACAAATGAAAGTTTGAGGTATTCACAGATAAACAGACATATTGTTCTGTGTCAGGCTGTGGATACTGAACTGGTGCCCCTGTATCTTATCAGCTAACTCTGACTGGTGACCAGTCATGGAACCCCAGCGGACTTGGTTCCCCTGGGTGCACTGCCAGGAGAGTGAATCCTCTAGTCCAGACGAGGAGCGGGAGCAGCGCTGGGCTGAACTCTTTGAACAGCTGGACATCAACAAAGATGGACACATTGACATCCTTGAACTGCGGAGAGGGCTGGCAGACCAGGGGCTTTCCAAAGGCTTAGTAGAGAAGGTAATACAGCAGCATACAGTGATACTGTCCATTACAAATGGGTTCATTTTCTACAGATACTTGCCAGTTCACATTAGACACCTCCCACTGTCAGTGATCAGACTGTCTTGGTCTTTAGGAGCTGGCCATCCGGGTGGCTGTAGCTCAGGTGGTAGAGCAGGTCACCTACTAACTGGAAGGTTTGCGGTTTGATCCCAGTCTGCTCCAGTCTGCAAGCCAAATATCCTTGAGCAAGACGTTAACCCCAAGACGTTGCTCTCCGATGCATCCATGGGAGTATGAATTTCTGTGAATGTTAGATAGTAAGCGCTTAGAAAAAAGTGCTTGTGTGAATGTGCAAGTTGTCTAAAGTGCTTTGAGTGCTCAGATAAAACAGAAAAGCGCTATATAAGAACCAGTCCATTTACCATCTGACACAGTTTTACCATTAAACAGTCAATAAATCATTCCTTATCTGCTCTATGCTCTTTAAAAATCTTGTTACCTAACATGCACACAAATAGTGGGCCATTTTGATAAACTACCCTACACTTCAACCTTCCACGTCATTCAGTCGTTGCGAGCTGCGTTGAACCTAAACGTAGCTACATTTCTTGGGAGGTGCACATCAGATCACGTGGAATGTTACACCGTAGGGTTAAAAGGAGTTTCCAGTTACATCATAAATTATGAAGCAGATTTCCCGCTGAAGCATAATTTAAGCACAAAATGGTTCCTAGCACAGTGGGAGAGTCCTATTGTCTTCCCAGTCTCATTACACATTTCCACCCAGCTGAATCCTGGAAAAAGGAAAGTTGAGTTCCCAGAAAGTTGATTCTGTTTACCCGGACGTTGAGAAATGCAATGTCCAGGTAAACAGGATCAACGTTCTGGGAACTCAACTTTCCTTACCTTTATGACTGAGCGTGCAATACATTTATTCAGGGTGGTTATAGAGAAGATTTTAAACAAGTAGACAAGAATGAAAGTGAAGACGTATTTCTTTTATAAGTTTTGTAAGCCAGCAGATCACACTCGAGAGAGAATATATCCACCAAAATCCTCCAGCAGGCTTCTACTTTTGGGCTTTGCCATTTGCCATTTTCATATATTGAAGTCAAGGTGCATTAGAGGACTCATGAGGGCTGGTCTGGTAAATGAGGCTGGTAAATGGCAAACATAAGTAGAGGGCACTCTGTAGTACCAGCAGCCACTTCACATTAAAGGTCACATCAAGTCAGTTTAGTTGTAAAGAAAGATTTTTAAACCAGATGCTGGTTTCAGATAAAACCTCAGTAATTCAGCTTTTTAGTGCTTTTTTTTTGCCATTACTTGTTGCTCTACCGTTGGAAGGTCATTGTTTAACTCAGTGGTTTAACCTGCTTATGCATGGGTTTTTGTGGGAAGGAGAAACTGTGTCTAAATTTCACCTTCCCGCACACTTTCTATTCATAAAGAACACCACCCGTTCATCTTTCCTCTTCTCTTTACATTAAACAACCAGGAAAGGCAAAATCTCTGCCCTTCTCCCTTTACCTTCTAGTTCCATCTTATCTGCATCCTTACTATTTATGCAGCAGCAGCAGCAGAGAACATCAACAGCATGGATTTGTATTGAGAAAGCACACAGGCTGTCTTTCTCCTCTCTCCTCTGTCTTTGAGTGTTCGTTTTGGTAAAAAGTGTCTGGGTCACCAAGAGAACTCATCAGTTCTTCTAGTTCTGCTTCTTCTGTCGTCTGGACTGTGTGAAAACTGTAAGCTGAGCCTTGCTCCTCTTTGTGAATTAAGAGGACTGAAAGCATAATATGGTTTATTTCAGAGTTTGAGGCTTATGTTAGGGTAAGATTTAATGTGTGAGTGTCTGTCTGTCTTTGCACACATGTAAAGGGCAGCGGGATGCTATTTTGGTCGAAGGAGCAGGACTTTGTAAGCTGAGATTAGTAACCTTTTGCTCTGTCATATGCTTGATCTCTCTACACATAATAATAATAATTGTCCAGTTTCTTTTTCTCCTGTAACATTTATCACTGCTTCTGTGTAATTCACTCTCTACTTTTAGTGTGTTTTGGCCCCTGTTTTTCCAAGAATATTTCTGTGATGCGACAGAGTTACTTTTTAGGTAACTAGACAGGGATTCTTATTGTTATTTGAGCCACTACATAAAACAGAGGTGGACACCAAAGTTTTGGAAAAATGGGGTGTAGCCAATCAGCAGTTAAGCTGAGGCAACAGCCAAGGACTCCTGCACTCAAACTGTAAGGAGAGTAAGG